TACTTGCGCCGGGTTTGAAAGCGGCTTTTTCCATTTTTTTTTACTTTTTCTTTTTTTTGATTGATTGATTGATTGAGTGCGCCCCGGGCCTGGTGGAAAAGGGGCAGACCAGCGTCCAACAGAAGTATAAATCAAGATGCAGCGCCTAGCCATTCATTCATTCACTGCGTGAGCCATGCGGAAGCGGTGCTACAGCGTCTTGTGCGAGGTCGTCTGCGGAGTGCCCGAGGTCGAAGTGGGCTGGAAGATGATAGTGTAGCCATAGTCGTCGTAGTGAGCGGCCATAGCTGCCGTAGGTTAGAGGTAGCTGTTAGTGTGTATGTGTGTGTCACTCAGAGTGAGCATGTGTGGGGTATTCAGGGTGATCCAGAGTTGATGTGCGCCTGAAAAGTGGAGTTGGACACAGTGAAGAGAGTTGGGATGTTCGACGCTCATGCGCCATAGCCAGCTGAAGCAAGTTTGCATCTGGACTGTGTTCGTGGTTTCCATATCTCTGAGCTTTTGAGTGGGCACACTGCGCCAGTGTGAATCTCCATCTGTTGCATGTTTGCAAAGTGGAAAAGAAAGCGAGTCTGATTGCAGATTGATTGGTTGATTGATTGATTGATTGATTGATTGATTGGTGGGGGATGGGTGCCCCCCTCCAACCCCACCCAATCACACACACACACACACACACACACACACACACACACACACACACACACACACACACACATACTTGGGCGGGGTTTGAAAGCGGCTTTATTCGTTTCTTTTTTTTTACCTTTTTTTTTTTTCTTAATTGATTGATTGATAAATTGATTGATTGATTGGTGAGGGATGGGTAGCCCCCCCCACCCCCACCCAATCAAACACACACACACACACACACACACAAACACACAAACACACTCACTTACGTGCGCGGGGTTTGAAAGCTGCTTTTTTCGTGGTTTTTTTTTTCTTTTTTTTTCTCTGGTTGATTGATTGACTGATTGATTGATTGATTGGTGGGGAAGGGGGCGCTTCCCCCCCCCACCCCTCACCCAGTCACACACACACACTCACACACACAAAGGGTTGTAGAATAGAATGTTCTCTTTTCTTTTTTTTTAGTTTTCTATTAAAAAAGCAAAATGTCAAAATTAAAAAAAAAAAATGTGGGCGTGCAGGGTTTTTCAAACACCACAAGCCCTTTTTTTTTTTTTAATCCATTAAAAAAATGAGAAAAAATAAAGAACCAACCCTGATGCCCCTTTTTTTTTTTTTCAACGGTGATTCACCGGTGATTCAACAGGGATTCAAAGGGGACTCTACGGGGATGCAACGGGGATTCAACTGGGATTCAATGGGATGACTTTTTGTTTAGCTCCACGCTCGAAATTCAACTGGGATTCAACAAGATTCAACGGGATTACCTTTTTTTTTGCTCGACGTGTCCGAGGCCCAATGCGCGCTCCCCGTTGGAGGGGGCCGTTGTAGTATTCAACGGGGATTCAATGGGGCCCGGGGGCTATTCAACGGGGACAAGGGCGTTGAAACTTTTTCGTTGAAGACATGACATGCCGCGGTTGTTTCTTATTATAAATCAAATGTTTTGACGTTGCTGCTGTGGCGTCCCGGTTTGTAACCATATTGCATTTTTGCATACTTGTTTTCCTGGTACAGACTTGGTTGCTTACAGGTTGCAGGAGCCGGAGAATAGACAGACACGGGGCAAATGTTGTTTGGACGTGGCGGCAGACCCTTCTCACCGTTCTACAACGTCCACAACATTAATGCTTCATTTTACATACCGCAACGCGGGTCTTCTTATCTGCTGTTGTGTTCGTCTATAATAATTGACTATGGACTCTCGTGTGTGCGTGCGAATGTTACTTCGCCCTTGCCCCTCCTTTCCCTTCTTGGGAGCAAAAAATGGGATAACTTCAGAAACGTTCCGTTTGAGTTTTGGTCTGTCCGAAAAAAACTGGGGGTCGCAGAAAAGTGCGGCCCGCAACTGAATTTGTGAAAACAGCTTTGGGGCAGTTAAAAATTGCGACAACAAACCAGTAATTGCCAATAGTTGGCCTTCCAAATGCCAGGCCCGTTTACCCTAAGGCCTGGTCCAATTTTCTGGCCCATGCCTTATACCGAACCGGCCTGGGGGGAGGGGTAATTCGAACAACGGTCCCGCCCGCGCTGCTACCCTTCCCTTTCCATGCAGGCGCTTGGCCATCTCCGCTCATGTATATGTGCCTGCTCTCTCTCTCTCTCTCTCTCTCTCTCTCTCTCTCTCTCTCTCTCTCTCTCGCTCGCTCGCTCGCTCGTGTGTGCGCGCGCGCTGCGGCCATTTCAGGACGAACCCGCGACGTGTTTGCAGTACATTCCACTGGACTGAATGTAACGCACATATGTGGTCAGATTCTTCTGAAATTGAAGGTAGAGCATGGGCCCTGAGCGGTCTGTCTGTCTGTCTCTCTCTCTCTCTCTCTCTCTCTCTCTCTCTCTCTCTCTCTCTCTCTCTCTCTCTCTCTGTGTCTCTCTCTCTCTCTGTGTGTGTGTGTGAGTGTGTGTGTGTGTGTATGTGTGTGTGTGTGTGTGTGTGTGTGCGTGTGTGTGCGTGTGTTCACATTACATTGAGTTCGACTGAATGTAACGGCTGAATGCGGTGAGATTCGTTCAAAACTGAACGTAGCGGTCAGTAATCCATAGGCTCGTTTTCGGATGGATCTCCGTTTATTTACACACACACACACACACACACACACACACACACACACACACACACACACACACACACACA